GATTTGAAGACCGGCATCATCAGCGCCCTCCGCGCCTACTCCATTGTTTTTGCATGGGGGCCGGAGGACATGCCGGGGATCAGCCAAAGGGTCATCACCCACCGCCTCTCGGTGGACCCTTCGGCCAAACCAGTACAGCAGCGAAGGAGACCCCTCTCGGCCGAGAGAAGGGAACTCGTGAAGAAGGAGGTCGCCATGCTTCTTTCTATCAAGCACATCAAGGAGGTGAAATACCCCTCGTGGTTGGCGAACGTAGTCCTCGCACAGAAACCGCCCTCATTCCGCATGTGCGTGGACTACACGGATCTCAACAAGGCATGTCCCATGGACCCCTTTCCTCTGCCCAATATTGATCAACTGGTGGATGAAACCGCGGGGTGCGAAATCATGTCATTCCTCGACGCATTCCGCGGATATCATCAAATATACATGCATGAGGAGGACGCTGAAAAAACAGCCTTCATGACTCCCGAGGGCATCTTCTGCTACCTTGTCATGGCCTTCGGCCTGAAGAACTCAGGCGCCACCTACACTTGGATGGTGGCCAGGGTATTTCAGGCCGTCCTGGGGCGCACCATGGAGGCATATGTTGACGATATGATCGTCAAAAGCAAGCAGTCAGCAAGCCATGCTGACGACCTAAGGGAGATCTTCGCCATCATGCAGAAGTTTAGCCTTCGACTGAACCCGAAGAAGTGCACCTTCGGCGTCCAGGGGGGAAAATTCCTGGGCTACATGGTTAGCCGGAGGGGTATTGAGGCCAACCCCGAGAAAATCCAGGCCATCATCAACATGGAGCCCCCACGCAACGTGAAGGAGGTCCAACGGTTGACGGGCCGCCCGGCAGCCCTCAAACGCTTCTTATCAAAATCGGCGGAGAAGTCCTCACCCTTCTTCCAGATCATGAGGAAAACCGCCGGTTTCCAATGGACTTCAGAATGCCAGGAGGCTTTCGACGAACTCAAACGGTACCTATCTTCACCCCCTGTGCTCTCCAAACCAAAGGTAGGGGAGACCCTCTACCTCTACCTTGAGGTCAGCCCGGCAGCCATCAGCTCTGTGCTCATCCGGGAGGAAGACGGCATCCAACATGCCATCTTCTATGTAAGCAAGATCCTAAGGGAGGCCGAGCTCAGGTACTCCCCTGTGGAAAAAACGGTGTTAGCCATCGTTTGGACCGTCAAGAAGTTGGGCCACTACTTTCAGGCCCACCCGGTTCAGGTCCTCACTCATCAACCCCTCGGCGCCCTCATGAGGAGCCCCACCAGCTCCTCCCGCATGGTGAAATGGGCTATCTTCTTGAGCCAATACAACATTGACATCCGTCCGTGGCCTGCCATCAAGGGCCAAGCCCTGGCGGACTTTGTGACGGAGTGTACCGCAAGGGCAGCCATGGACGAGGAGCCCTCGGCTACCTCGGAAGACTGGTGGACCCTCTACACCGACGGCTCCTCCGCGACCAAAGCATGCGGGGGAGGGGTAGTCCTCGTTACTCCTGAGGGCTTCAAGGCCTACTATGCAATCCGTTTGTCCTTCAAAGTCTCCAACAACGAGGCCGAGTATGAGGCCCTCCTACGTGGCCTTCGGCTGGCTGCCAACTTGAAGGTTCGGCAGATCCATATCAAATGCGACTCCAAGTTAGTCGTTGGCCAAATCTCCGAGGAGTATGAGGCCAAGGAGGGAAGAATGAAACAGTACAAGGAGACGGCCAAGGAGTTGCTTAAGGTATTTGAGGCACACTCTCTCACTCAAATACCGAGGGCTCAGAACTCCGAGGCCGACATACTATCTAAGCTCTCGGCCGAATCCCCCGAGCACATCTCTAAGATTGCCAAAATTGAGGGACTGAGTCTCTCAAGTATCCATGCGAGCCCCGTCATGAACATACAACAACGCCAAGAGGACTGGATCTCAGATATCATCACCTTCATCTCCATAGGGCAGCTACCCGAGAATGAGACCCGCGCTAAACTAGCGAAGCTGAGGGCTCCTAGCTACACCATCGAAGACGGAAGGCTCTACAAACGATCTTACAACGACACGCTACTTCGGTGCCTTCATCAAGATGAAGCCGAGGTCGCAACTGAGGAAGTGCACAGTGGCACTTGCTCAGCTCACCAGGGACCCTTCTCCATGTCCCGAAGGCTCGTTCTCCAGGGCTACTTCTGGCCAACCATGGCCAGGGATTGTGCTGACCTTGCCCGAAGGTGCACCGCATGCCAACATTTCCAGAAAGCCCCCGGCAGGCCAGCGGTCAACTATGCCCCCATCAGCACATCCGTCCCCTTTTCTCGATGGGGGATACACCTTGTGGGCCCTCTACCGAGGGGTACCTCCAACAACAGGTACATCATTGTGGCCATCGACTACTTTACCAAGTGGGTGGAGGCTGAACCCCTCGCCAGCATCACAGAGGCAAAGTGTCGTCACTTCGTCCTCAAGAACATCCTCACAAGGTTTGGCGTCCCCCAGCAGATCATCTCCGACAACGGAACACAATTTGAGGCAGCCCCCTTCTGTGCCCTCCTGGAGGCATGGGGCATCAAACACACCTTCTCCTCCGTTGCCTACCCTCAAGGCAACGGGCAAGTAGAGAACGTCAACCGGATCTTGCTCGAGGGCCTCAAAAAGAAGCTAGAGGCCGAGGGCAGTGGCTGGGTAGAAGAACTCCACAACATCCTTTGGGCCTACCGCACCACCCCTCGGCGAGCAACAGGTGAAACACCCTTCTCCCTCTGCTACGGGTTTGAAGCCAAAGCTCCTACGGAAGTCACCCTTCCTACCCGGAGGGTGATCCAATATGACCCCGAGGTCAACGACAACAACATGGCACTCGACCTCCACCTCCTTTCAGAACGCCGGGAGCAAGCTTTCATCCGGGCAGAAAACTACCGAAGGCAAGTCAAAGGCTACATCGACGCCAAGGTTCGCACCCGAGAATTCCAAGTGGGGGACTATGTCCTCCGGAGGAGGGAAGCCAGCCAACCGACCGAGGGAGGCAAAATGGCACCAAAGTTCGAAGGCCCCTACATCATAGCAGCCATCATCAAACCTGGGACTTACAAGCTCAAACGCCCCAACGGGAAAGAGGTCCCTAGGCACTGGAATGTACACCACTTAGTTAAATTTTATCAATGATGTAAGAGCGGTCAAGCCCTCATAACTAGTGAATGTACTATCCTATGGCCCAAGACCTCCAATTTTGAAGAATGAAGACACATTCAAGACACCAAGAACAACCACAAGACACTTATGAGCGGCCAAGCCCTCATACCAACTACAGGACCAAGGCCTCACCATGAGAAGAACCCCCTCCGACACCAAGTGCCGAGGGCGGACACCACCAACACCTCCAACAACAGTGAAAACACCAAGTGTTTTCAAACAAGACCCCTTGGTACCAAGTACCGAAGGTGGGAACTCCCATCACCGGCAACAAGAAACACCAAGTGTTTCATTTCAAGACCCTTCGGCACCCAGTACCGGGGGTACACATCTCCACCATCAACATCAAAAAGAAGAAGAACACCAAGTGTTCCTACAGAAGACCCCTCGGTACCAAGTACCGGGGGCTATATGTCGAAACTAACACCAAGTGTTGTTTCTAAAGCCGTACCCCACGAGGACGCATATACCGAAGGCGCCACCATCGGTGCCGGCGACACGTAGTGCCCCCGGACATTTGCAACTAGTGTGCAAATGAAAACCCTTCCTTGAAACGCTTTCCGCGTCACTACCCCCAGGGTAGGACACGCAAGTTATATGCCCAGGATTCGACTTTCAAAAACGGAACGCTTTCCGCGCCATTACCCCCAGGGTGTGGCAGGCTGCGGGCTTTGCTTGACGCCGAGGATTCGACTTCCAAACCGAAACGCTCCCCGCGCCATTACCCCCAGGGTGTGGCAGGCCGCGGACTTTGTCTGACACCGAGGGGACGACTTTCAAAAATGAGGCGCTTTCCGTGCTATCTCCCAAGGGGAAGCAGGCTACAGACTACGTCTTATGCCCAGGAAACGTCCCTCGATCCCCTCGTAATTCAGAAGGTTAACCCGAGGGAGGAGAGCCATTGGTGTATTCTGATGGTCTCCTGATAGGCCCAGCCTTACCAAGAAACCAAGTTTCTTGATGCCTTCCCTTCACCACCAACCAAAAAAAAAACAAACAAAGGGGGTGAAGGGGAGTAGACTCATCGAGAAATCAATGAGTACAACACTCCAACAAATCACAACATACCGAGGGCTCCCTACGGGAACACCTTCGGTAACTGAAGGCTCCTATTTCCCGAAGGTTACTACTCAACAATACAAAGGGATTGGACTGTCTCAAGTACACTAAACGGCTAAGTTCACTTCAAATAAGTGCCGAGGGCACCTACCATCGGTCATCCATTGCTACTGAGGGGTCCTATCCTGTAAAAGGGGATGCAACTGACTAAGGCAGCTCAACAACCCTTCAATTGAATGCCGAGGGCACCTATATCCCACCAGCATTCACTACAACATCAATGTCCTACAAATTTTCCTAAGTCCACACTTTTGGAAAATGACAACAGCCGGAGGCTCACATATCACCCAACAACCGAAGGCATCTGTTACAAATCATCAAAGGCCAACCAAGGGGGCTTATTCCAAAATAATGTCGCCCTCGGGAAATCTTAATTGGAAAACACTACTAACCGGAGGCTACACAAGGAAACAACACTTAGAAAATTTTCTAAGTCCTACATATTTGGCCCTCGGTCAAATATTCACACATCAGGAAAGGAGGCTACCAGCCGAGGGCTTCCAATGGGAAACTACACTTAGAAATTTTTCTAAGTCCTAAGGATTGGGTTCTCAACCTAATCATCTCACAGCAATTGAACTACAAACACCCGAAGGCCCTATGGTGTGCTACACTTAGAAAAATTTTCTAAGTCCTAATAACATGGCTTTCGGCCATCACTAAGCTACCACACATTCATACACAAGAGAAGAAAGGCCTGAGGGCTAACATTCATCCATCAATCATCAAAAGCAGAAGTAAATGTAATTGTTACAATGATGGCCAGGGCCGAAAGCATACAAATGTGACCATTACAAAGTGTGTTCCAAATATTTGCTAAGTACAGATTACACGTCAAACAACATCATTCCCGGAGGCGTCCTCTACTACAGGTTTAGACGCGGCATCATCCCCGGGTTCTTCCTCTTCGTCGCTGCCCTCGGCCATCAGCACGGAGTCTTGGCCTCTCAACACCTTCAGGGAGGGGAACCCTGGGGTCTGGCTGAAGGGAAGGGAGACCATAGGATGCCGGGTCGAAGGCCTTCGGGTCCACCCCAAGATGCCGGGACAGCCTTCGATATACAAGGGCCTGAGTAAAGTACTCACCCCCGTCATAATACTCTTTGCCCTTTCAGGCCAGCCACATCGCGCCTGGGCCTTTCACCCATTCGTTCACCGAAGCCTCCACTACCGAAGCCACCCATTCCTTCCGGCCTTCGGCTCTCCATCCCTCCTCAGCAAAAGCGGCAACAGCATCCTCCCGGGCTTGGGCGACGGATTTGTTCTGGGCCTCCTCGGCATCCTTTGCGGCTTTCTTGGCAGCCTCGGCCGCAGCCTTCTCCGCCTCTGCCTTGCCTTCGGCCCTGGCCACCGTCTTGGAGCTCTCGAGGATTTCATGAAAAGCCTTTTGCTCAGCTTTGAGAGCTTCCTCGGCCTCTTTGAGCTGCTTTCGGGCCTCAGCCAATGCTTCATCGGTCTTCTTCTTCACGGAATCATACTGCTCCATCCTGTGGACCAGCTCGCCAAGGCCAAGGCTTGCCTGAAAGCAAGTATAAATTATCGAAGGTTAAGTCACTACACACGCAAAGAATTAAATTATCTGCAAAAGAGAAGGAAGGAACCTTACCGTAACCGAGGCCATCAGAACCTTGGAGCAGAGGACATCATCGGCATGACGGGAGAGCACAGACTTATCGGTCGGAGGGGTGGCACTCCTCAAAAACTCCTTCGGGTTCAGGGTCCCGTGCATGATAGCGGTCCCCTTCGTGATGGAGAATTGGACTTTGTCCTGGGGCCATGTCAGACCAGTGGCTTGACCCGAAGGCTTGGGGGGAGAAGATTCATCTACAATCACAACGGGGGCTTCCTTCAACTCCGGGGCCCCCTTCTTCTTCTTCTTCTCCCCCGGCTGCGCCGGGTCCTTCCCCAGTCTCTTCCTCTTCAGCTCCAAACCGGGGGAGCCTCCGATGGCGGTCTCCACGACGGGCCCTGCCTCCTTGACCTCGTCGGCTGCTCCCGCCTTCGGGAATATCTCGTCAACCGCCCTCTGCTGTGCGGGGGCCTCCTTCTTCTGGTCTTCCTTGGCGAATTGCCTCTTCAGCTTGACAAGGTTCCGGGCGTCCATATCTGGTCCTGAAACAAAAGAAGGCACACAAGAGTTAGTTTACTACTACAACAAAGCAAGGGAAAAATTCTAAGTATGAAAATTAAAGCCATCGGCATTGCAACAACCTTCGGCGCTCTCATATACATGATCAATCGTGGGGTAGCCTTCCTCTTTCTCCCCCATCAGCCGATACCGACGGAAGCCAAGCTTGTACAACTCACTAGAAAGCGTTGCGTCTTTGATGGACACGTGTTTATCAGACCCCTCCGGTTTCTTGGACAACTCCCGCCCATTTTTCTCGAGGGCATACCCTTCTGCCTTCAGGTGCCTCCGAAACCTATCACCAAGCGGAGCGGAGAAAGGGTTCTCGGCCAGACGGATGTAGCAGAACTTATCTTTCCACCCCTTGTGAGACGAAGGCGCCTCGTCAAAAATCCTGAACTTCGGGAGCTGCTGCAAATTACCATAGCCCCCGGCATTCGAATGACCCCCCCGACACAAGTTGAACGACAGAAAGAATTGCTCCAGAGTAGGGGGACCTTTCGGCTGAGGCACAGCGACAGGAACCCTGCCAGGTATGAGTGACTGTTCAGGGTCAACTGGCAGGGGGCTAGCTTGACGAAGCGAAGGTATTCCAACACGAAGGGATGAAGGGGAAATCTGAGACCAGGTTCCACCGAAAGCAGATGTACGGCAAAACAGCCCTCGGGGGCATGGAGGAGCACGTCATCCGGCTTTGGCTCTACCACCTGCGCCGAAGGTCCAACCAAAAACTGTGCCGCCATCATCTCCCCTCGGGTAGCTTTGTTTTTGACCTCCAAGGCGGCCGTATTCAGAAAAGAGTAGCCCTCAGGCAGTCCCACTGGCTGGCCAGCGTCGACGGCAGCTTGCTTCTTCTTCGGAGCCGTCCTCATCTTCTTTCTCTTCTTTCCTGGGGCCACACTGAGGGGTACGGCGTCAAGAGGCCGGGAGCTCCCAGCTTCGGTATCACGCCGAGGAGGAGGGACAGCTACAGTCACCTTCAGGCCCTCCTTCTGGGCCTCGTCCTCGGCCACCTGATAGGCCATGGCAAGCTCTTCATCCGCATTCACCTGCTCGAAGTCTTCAGCCTCGAGTTCAAGCTGAAGGTCATCCTGCATCGCCTCGGCTACGGCCCTATCGTCGATGACCGAGAGCTGCTCGCTTGAGGATTCCACGTCAGACGCCACTTCGATGTTCACTGAAGCCTCCCCCGAGATGTCTTGGGAATCACTAGCTGACGACATTACTTCTAAAAGGCGAGGGGTCGAAAAATTCGCACACAAAAGGGTTCCTAAACAGTCCCAAAGCCTAAACCTAAGGCCGGAAAGCTAAGTACTCAAATAGAGCTAAGGACAGAAGGAGAACTAACCTCTGAAACTGGGTTTGACCGAAGGCTGGAGTTTCTCTCTCTAGAAATTTTGGCAGAGCTTCGCTAACAGTATGATCGCACAAAGACGAATGGCCTTGGCCGGGGGTATTTATAGGCGCCCAGATCCGGGCTTGGGCCCAAAAAAACGGGCCCCCGGCAAAAGGTCATCATTACGCGCCGTGTCTTCGCCCAACCGGTGACGCCGCCCACGGGCAGCCAACCATCATGCGCCACGTGTACTCCCCCTCCAACGGTCACATTCAACGGCTATATTCTGGGAACCTGAAGGTACGCCCTCGGGTAAACACTCCTTCATCAAATAAAGAGGTAGTCCCTGGGCTTCCCTCCTTCGCTCCACCTCACAAAGGGGACCCCCCGGGCTCACAAATGGCAGACCCCTCGGGTATCCTCCCCCCTCCAACACATTAATTTCCAGGCAGCCCCCGGAGAATATCACTTCATCAACAAGCGCGCCCCCGGCACGCGGGTAACGGGACCCTTCGGGTACTCCCCTCATCAACTAAATAACAAAAGACGTGAAGCCTTCGGGATCTTCACAACTACTATTTGCGTTTATCACACCCTCAGTCCCATGGATTGAGGGACTCTACTTCGACGCCTCCCAGGATATCGACGACGTGCCTTCGACAATACAACAAACACGCCCTCAAATCATGCGAACCTTCGGCATCAACATTACACTTCACTTTAGACCAGGGTTGAACCTTTTCGATTCATCATTGGGGGAATTCGGTGCACTCTTTTTCCCTCATTAGGATTTTTTCCCACAGGGTTTTTCCTAATGAGGTTTTTAACGAGGCATCCCCCCAAAATGAAACGAAAAGCGTTAGCCTTTGGCCCCATGCTACAACGGACTAAACTCTACTCCTTTTCACCACTTTACAAGTGCCTCAAGGAGTGGGGGATTGGAGAACCCCTTCGGGAAAATCATTAAATTACAAAATGGTGAAAAATTCCAACAAACGGCAAAGCAATCCCTCAAGTCCCGACATGTGGGTAACTGAGGGATTGCCTTCGGCAGGGACATGCAAACAACAACTCCTCACCAACTTCAGAGATTACAACGGGACAACATCAAAGGGCAAGCACAAATTACTCCTTTTCCCTCAAGTACCTTTCGGCAAAAGGAGTGAGGGACTCCTGATGTAGTATATGGCCCGGGAACCCCCGACCCACAGACTCCTACTACACCAATAAAGGCCCAACCGGCCCAGGAAGCACAGTAGGCCCAAATTACGGCGCCCCAAGCACTTAGCAGCCCGCAGCGCACACTGGGGAGCCCACAGGAAGCCCGAAGGCTCAAATCTCTCACAGAACGGGTTTTTCAAGCAAACTAAGAAACTGGGAGAAAACGGCAAAAAACAGTAGCCCTCGGCACCTAGAGCCCTCGGCACTAGTGTGCCCTCGGCAACAGAGAGCCTTCGGCAGCTACTATGCGGCCGAAGGCACCTCACTCGACAGGATCTTCCCTCCACGCGCATCTGGGTCACCGTACTAAGTACAACGTCCCATCCGACAGCCGCATTAAATGCGGCTACATGCGGTTGCCAGCGCCAACCAGTTGAGGTGACCTCTCGGCCAATGGACGCTTGACACGTGTCCCTGTCCGGCACTTATTGCTACTATAAATAGCACCCCATTTCCCCATTTGTAACCACGCTGAAAACGCTCAACACTTTACAATATACTTTCTCTCTCTATACTTACTTGCTCTGACCTCTCTCTTATTATTCCCCGTAATAACCCCTCGGATAAGCTACCCCCGGGTACACTATCCATCAACATTGTTTTAATCGTTAAGGGAAAACGCTATTGAAATGCTGCAAGTTGGGTAAACTATTTCCAATCTGCCTATAATTTTGACTTTGTAATATCATTTTTTTTGTAAAATGAAGTATGTTCTCAATTTGCCTAATAATCTATTGCTGGACTAATCTCTTACCTAGCCTAAATACAACAATCAAACAATTGAGAACCTCATATTACTAATATCAACATGAGTAATACTTTGAAAAATATTTTTATTTGTAAAAGTTATGTAAAATTATCATGTGATTCCTTATAACACGTCAAGTATCATTTTTTACAACAAATTATATAACCCATTCAGTAAAATGGTTGAAGTTTAAATAATATTGATAAATGATCGGTTAAAATTATGTTTATAAGAAGGAATTGGAATCATGGTCTTGTAATCGGAGGTGTTTTGTACTATAGCCATCCCTATTTATTGTTAGCCTTATCTACTAAAGGTCTTTTCTATCTATTATTATATGTAATGTCATTAATAATATACACATAGTTGTCTCATTTTTGCAAATTGATACCTAAGCTAATGAGATATTGTTAGCACTTTCCCAACCTGCTGTGAGTTGTAGGTTATTATAAAAAACCATAAGAATTCATTCAGTGAAATGGGTAAGGTTGATAGACAATACTAAACTACTGTGAGTTGTAGGTTATAAATAAAATCCATAAGAATCAAATCACTGAAATGGTTAAGCGGCTAGATAGTTACATAGTAGCCGATTAATAAAATCCATCAAGAATCCATAAGAATCAAATCTGCCAACAAAGGTTGATTTTTTATGGGAAGTGGCTAGATAGTTACACAGTAGCTGATTACACAATATTCACAAAAGGTGCGTCTCTATGCTTTTTTGACATTTTTTTAATCAATCATTTGTACTGTCGATCTATTGTACGCTAATTTGAAATTGGAAAAATGTATGTGATTGGTGGCTTTGGTTCAGAAGTTTAACAAAGATAAAATAATAAAATGAAACAGAGCTCTAACAACACCATCTTTATTGGATTTATATTTGTTTTATTTAAGTCCTAGGATTTATGTTTGTTTAATTGTCAATTTCTAGAAATTGTTTTGATAAATATATTAAGATGAAAAGTTTCTAATACTTCTCAACAATGATTTCTATGCAGGGAGTGGATAGACTATATTATTTCTTTGTTTAAAAAATACTTGAATCATTGGTATAAGAATTTAAAGTTTAAGATTCATTGATCCACTCTCATCCATGATATGCCCTTCATCCAACTGCTACACAGTAGATGTATGGTTGATCAAACGTTTGATTCCACATCTACATGTTAACATTTAAATGGTATAGAATTTCGGGAAAATATGAAGCATTTCATACCGTTCATTTGAAGTATATGACTACATAACCAATATGAGATCTCATAAGTCCACATAGGTCCACATAAGTCCACACACAATCACACACACAAATGACACAATGGATGTACAATGGAATCGTTTCTTGAATTTTGATTTCAAATCATGACAAATGGGCCTTCTTCGATGGATACTTTTACTATGCTTGTAAAGTTTCTTGTATTGTATTTATGCACCCTGTCAAAACAAAAATGACATACCTGTAAAGTTAAATGTAGGAGATGAGTAAGAGCTAACATGATTACTCCATGTAGAAGTGAGAATAACTTACATTTTAACCCTGGAGTCTCAAATAATTTTTGAGATTTTTTAGAGCAGTACTCCCTAACCTGTTGTGGTTTCATATCGCGGGTACATGATTTTTGATTTTTGAGTAACATAGTCACTGTTTTCTTTTGTTTTTCAGAGGAGTAATATGGTTGGAGAGCAAAATTCTAGACTGTGTTTGGGGAGCAGTGAGCAAGTGAAAGATTCAATAGAAGTATGCTTTTATAGCAAAACTTTGCATTCAAAATTTTGGTTGCCTAAAAACATACGCATGTTTGAAGTATGGCCATGTATAATCAACATCACTGTACATGTCCCGTCAAATTGAAAACAGTAGTGTATCACTGTATTGCTTTTGGCGTAGAGTGCTTTTAGAGTTTTATATACGCAGTATTTATGAATAGATTAATAGATTTGGGTGAGATTTTTACGCCACCTTCTGCATGTTTCACTGTTTAGAAGTATTTTGGTGGGATTTCTACGCCACCTTCTCTACGAATTTGTAGTCCATACAATAAAAAAAATTGTAGTCCATACAATTTTATTACTTTAGACTTCTTTATTTGATTTTTATTGCTAAAACTTGATGTTGACACTTCTAGGCGGGAACCCTATTTCTCAAATTTCTTTTGCTTTTATATTAGAATAGATTTGGCCATTTCTTGATTACTTTTATTCTAACTAATGTTACGGGGTATATTTTAGTGCTATTTTAGTGACTGTTTTAGTGAAAGTATTTAAATACTTTAATTATAGAATTTGATATGACATAATTATAAAAATGATATATTCTAAAAAGAAATAATTCAATGTCTTTTAATCTTAATGTTTTTTATCTGAATGTTTATGACCTAATTTGAATGTTTCTGAATATTTATGATCTAATCTGAATGTTTCTAATTTTTCTATATAAAATAATAAATCACATTATTTATTTTTATATATGCAATATTGGTGTCATATGAAAGATAATAAAAAATTATGAATTTTGATATATTATTTATAAAAATTGGAGATTAAATACAAAAGTTATATGAGTTTAAAGAAGGATTTCTTTGCTCCACGCGGCACAATCCACCAAACGCATCGAAACCTTATGGCATACGCTTTTACGACCCATTCACGCGACACGACCCACCAACCGTACCGAAACCAGTCCGCTTTGCCGCGGCACGTGGCATGGTTTTGGGTACCACTACCCCCTAAAAGATAAATGGCAAATGTGCTTGAAATCGTAAAGCACGAGAAATTTTCAAAATTTGTGGTGTGTGTTCCACTCTCCCATTTTATTGAGGAGTACCCGCACAAGATGTTTGTAAAATGATGCCATTACATGTAAAGTATTCTTTCATACAGTGAGTTCCATTATCTCTTCTAATTTTTTAAATTTTCTATGCAAATTGTTGATTAGCCATGACAATGGAGTTTAACGTGTTAGGAAGTTTATGTAACTACCTCGAAAGCACCACAACGAAAGTTAAACATTTCCCTAAGAGATCTTCTTACTGTGAAAGAATAACGAATAATACATGATAATATAAGAACTAAACATATACTTAATTGAAAGAGTGCTTTATCCTTGACTTTTGGTATACAATTGATTTCTCATACCTGAAAGAACGATAAGAGTTCCCTTAAAGTAAAAGTAAGAAAAATTCTTTCTTCAGGAAGTTACTGGCAATACTTAATGTCCGAAAAGGATTCTAAATTATGAAATAACATGATGTATTTATACTAGTTCTTAAATAGTTACTCAATCATAATGAAAGTGTTTATTATTAATGAGTTCTAATTCTAATGGGTTCAATGCTCATTAATGGATTCTGGTTCTAATTGGACCCACACATATTGATATTTAATCAAATAAATAATAACAATAACCATAATAATAATGATTATGACGATGATAATAATAGAAAATAACAAAAACAACAAAAACAATAATAACAATAATAATGGATTAAGAATTGACTTTTACTAGTTTTTTAAATTTGAAATACGAGGATAATACGAGGATGTTGCAATGTTGTTGGAGTGAATCTGCATACTTAAATTGGAAATGGAAAAATTGAAAAATTAAAACATAAAATTGGAGAACGAAAAACATAAAAGAAAACTAATAAATGTGTATCAGTATACGGGTTTTGCGCGTTTCTCCCAACGTTGCAATTTTAGGTTGTTTTCCTCGATAATCTATAATAAAAAAAAGCCTTTTGTACACACTTCACTTTTGTATATATTTTTACATCTTTCGAGTTGATTTTTTTCCTGTCACCAACTAAAGAAACACTACAATCATTCTTAAATAAATGCATCAGTCAAATTTTCACGTTTGACAATGCATAAATTTGATCAATAATATGTTTAATTCTCTATTATTGAAGAAAAAAATCATATTTTGAAAATTTATAATGAGACAAATTTAACAATAATTTTATAAAAGTAATTCATTAATATATTAATAAATAAAATGTAATTAAAATAGAACATGTGAATAATGTAAAATTTAACATGTTTTATTTATTTAAGAATGAAGGAAGTATGTTTTGTTTGTCAATTATTGTTTATAGGTGTAAAATTCAATTGAAGTATCCCATTTTTTACCTACACTTTATGTGATCCAAATAAAGTCACATTTAAATGAGTTGTCTCACATAGGACCTGTTTGTTTTTCAGCGGATCCATGCCAACCCGCTGCTTTTAGCAGCGGTTTGTAGTTCAAAAAGAACAGCGGAATGCTCCCGTTATACAAACGGGACCATAATCCGGGTACTTGTAGCATTTGATTATCGGCAGAAGAGGACGTCAGGTTCATCCCTCCTAGACGCAAAGTTACTGCAACAGTACCACAAACAACAGTACGTCCAGATACGGGTAAAACACGATTAGCTAAGTTAAAACGCTGCTCTTTTATAAATATAAGGAGGAAGACGAAGTTTATCTTTTATCTTATAGGAATAAAATAAATCAACAAACTCCGGCCGGCTTGGGGCGTCCTGATAACACACTCACGCAGTTCATCTCACCTACTCTTTACCTTTGACTTCCGGGCCGTCTTTTTTTTCTGGTTCAATTTCTCCGACGGAAAAGCGAGGATGGCTACGGATGTGGCAGCAGCGGTGGAGCACACCGGAGTGGGCGGCGCCGGCAGGTGCTGCAAGAGAGGTCCGGGGTATCCCAGCCCTAAGGAAGCCATGAAAGGACCTAAGGAGTCCCTCATTTATGTCACCTGCGTCTATTCAGGTCAGTTATATTTCATCCACGCCTTTAATTTCACTTCAATTCCTTTTTGCTGGGTATTGAAACTGATGCGCGGTGGATATCCTAGTTTTGTGCTAAAGATGAGATTCTAATTTTTAAAGAACGGGTTTTGTTTAGTCAAGTTCTATACCACAGGAACCCAAAGCCAAAACTACTTTGGTATACCTTAGGCACACCAAAGTATTACCAAAGAATTGTGTATCAGAATCAAGGTTCTGTTTTAATGTCCTATTACCAAAGAGTCCCTAATTGCTCATAATGAAGCTTTATATAAGCTGTTACTACCCCTGGTTCTGCAGCATAACTAGTCTTCAGATCATTTGATTATTGCCTTCATCTACACGTTTGGTAGCAATACTGAGCTCCTATGGATGGGCATGTTAGTGATTTCTTAGCTTGACATTGCGATTAGATTTTACCTGGTTTTGAACATTTTTCTATGCATGTCCTCTCTATATGTTTTTTGACTCGAGGAAATTGAGATGTCCCATTGCAAACTTAGAGCCTGTTTGGTGGCATTATTTTTTGGAATATCATCCTTATCGGTCAACTTTTTTACCAAACGATTTCGCGTGCTGAATTGTGTAATAATAAGAAAAAGTAAGATTGTAGTTACTTTTCTGACCGTATTGGCTGAAGTTACTGTTGATAATCATTTAGCCATTTTTAATATAATTTTTTCTTTATTTTATTAATAAAAAATATTTAAATATAATTTTTTGATAAATCAGGCGAATCAGCCACTTCAGCCATAACTTCATAAATTTCAGCAGAATTAACCGATTCATCCCATTTCAGTGCTACCAAATGGCCTATTAGAGTTATACCAGACATGTTGAACAGTTGTTAATAATATTTTGATTTTTGAATAAGTTTTACCTTCTATTCACTTGGCACTTAGCCGAATCTCACCACCTTATATACATTTTCTTGAGAAATGCCGAAGCTCCGAATTAAGAGTTCTATCTACAAATTTAATACACGCATACTGCAAACACATTGTATAGTCCCAGATCAAACAAATGAAGAGATAATTGATGATAAATCATTGGCTTGAACTAGCCAATAGATTGAATTCTTTCTTTTAGTGTTAAAGCAGTTCCGGCCCACTTTTCCTGCAAGTGGAATCTGATGTTTGTTTACCCCGATCCGACTAGACGAATATTATCTATGGAGTAGCCCAAGTGCCTTATGTCCTTGATCAGCCATCTCAATCTAATCTTGAATTTATCATACACACATATATGCTGAATATTTTGTGTTGGTTCATTCATCATAACAGGAACAGGAAGGGAGAAGCCAGATTACCTGGCTACTGTTGATGTTGATAGTAATTCACCAACATATTCTAAAGTAATCCACAGGCTACCAATGCCTTATCTAGGTGATGAACTACATCATACTGGATGGAATTCCTGCAGCTCTTGCTTTGGTGACCCAACTGCTTCTCGTCGATATCTTGTCTTGCCTTCACTCATGTAACTAGCACGCCTTCTCTGCTTACTTACAACTTTTTTATGTACTTTGTGCTGGTTGTTTGCAAGTATATATATATAATACGTAGTAATCAGTATTGGTACAACTTACGAGGCTTTTGATCAGTCTATATCAATTAGTATGGTCATTAAATCTCTAAAGATCCATGGTGTTGATTGAGATTTGCTTAAAGAAGAATATACACTGCATTTGCTTGCATTTGAGAGATTTTTTAAATGTTTTCAGATCTGGGCGCATATATGCAATTGACACATTAAAGGATCCAAAAGCTCCCAGTGTACATAAAGTTGTAGAACCAGATGAGATTATAAAGAAGACTGGTTTAGCCTATCCACATACTGCTCATTGCCTTGCTTCTGGTGACATCATGCTGTCATGCCTTGGTGATAAAGATGGAAATGCTGAGGGGAATGGATTTCTTCTACTTGATTCCAATTTCAATGTGAAAGGAAGGTAGTCTATATGTGCTAACATCATCTCTTTGGAAAAAATACATTCTTTTGCCTCGTATTCTTTACTTTTGTTATACCTAGTATTTTGCGTTGTTCAGATTTTTTTACCGCATCTCACATACGTCCCCAGTCTCAAAATGACTATTTTTTAGTAATGTTCAAGCTTTTACGAGTTGTGAATGATCACCTTATACTCCTAAAACTTATGCCAAAAATGTTTGGAGTAATTAAATAAATCCGCTTGCAGCTTGAATTTACCAGAACTCTACTTGAAATTGAAAGTTGACTTCTACAATCAGACTCTTTCTTGGGACAAAAAAGTTCTTAGACATCTAGGTGGCCAATTAGGCGCTTTGTGCAGGCAACTTAGCGCCTTTGGCGGCCAACTAATTCACCTAGGCGGCTAGGCGCCAAATCAATTATTTGGAGTGCCTAGACAAAAATCGGGTCGCCTAGCCGCCGCCTAGCGCCTAGGTGGGGACTAGTCGGGCGCCTAGAGTGATATTTAGAACAGTAAGACTTGTGTTCTATCCGAAAAGGTGAACCCATGATAGGTGAAATAACCTTATCTCATATGTTGGTTTGTAATTTTATAATGAATTTGTGTAAATGTGTGATAAGGTGGGAAAAGCCAGGGCACAGTCCACTGTATGGGTATGATTTTTGGTACCAGCCGCGACACAAGACAATGATTAGCTCATCTTGGGGAGCTCCAAGGGCCTTCACCAAAGGCTTCAATCCGCAGCATGTTTCTGATGGGCTTTATGGTCGCCATTTACACGTCTATAGTTGGCCTGATGGTGAACTGAAACAGACACTTGATCTTGGCAATACTGGGCTTCTACCCTTGGAGGTACATATAAGATTTATCCTTCTCACCCCTTTCTTCATTTTCATTTCGTATAACTTTTTGTTTCGAATGTGTGGCAGATAAGGTTCCTCCACGATCCATCCGAAGCAACTGGGTTCGTGGGGTGTGCATTGACTAGCAACATGGTGCGTTTTTTCAAGAATCCAGATGATTCTTGGAGCCATGAGGTAAACTGTAAAGCCAAAACATTCACATGCCAATAATTGTGAAACCATTGAGCTGTATGTGTCAAGTCACTCATTAGGGATACTCTTATTGACTTTTTATAGTGAAACCCCGAGTCTTTATGCATTATCAAATCTAGTTGAGCTCAAATGAGCAAAAAATCTAACCAAGACTTTTAAAAACACAATGATAAGTCCAATCAAACTATTCACTATCTTGCTGGTACATTAAATAATCCCAAACCAGTCAAATACAAACACTCAAACTCACATATAAGGATTTGGGTTACTCATCCAATCAGGTTGATTCTATTAAAATTAAACTCACATATAAGATTTCAAATATTCCTCCATAAGGTTAACCATGTATGGAAACCTTCCTGACTACAACTGATCATTAAGATTAAAAAAACACACAGATTGCAATATTAGTATGTTCCGACAAACTAACATCTTATCCCATGTGTAATCATCATTTCCAAATCGACCAAATTAAGCAATAAAATACAAACTCATACCACCTCCGTAACACAAAGATCTTCCCATTTTGACTTTTCACGGTCGTCTAAGTTGAACTTTGACTCTAAATATCTACATATCTATATTTATAAAATTCATAATAAATTAACATTCAAATAATATGTTTTACAATGAGGTATATGAAATAAATTTTTAATCATAACATAATGTGAGTTTTGAATAATTAATGGTCAAAGTTTATAAAGTTTGACCCAAAAGAGTCAAACTGGGAAGATTCTAGGGTTACGGAGGTAGTATAAAGTTTTTGAAGTACTATATTTTAGGTGGAAGCTTAGGTCTAAATAATATGTTTGTACGTGATGAAAAAAATACCAAACCACTGCAGGTAGCAGAGTCAGTAAAATCATTGAAGGTGCAAAATTGGATTCTTCCTGAAATGCCTGGACTGATTACTGATTTTCTGATCTCTCTGGATGACCGTTTTCTTTACTTGGCCAATTGGCTGCATGGTGACATTAGGCAGTATAACATTGAGGAACCAGCAAAGCCAAAGCTGGTGGGGCAAGTGTGGGTGGGTGGGTTGATTAGAAAAGGAAGCCCTGTAGTAGCAGAAGCGGAAGATGGTACAACCTTCCAGGTTGATGTCCCAGATGTTCAGGTACTTTGACATTTTAACTCATACAAAAAGCTATAATAATTACAAAACGTGTTGCAAAAAAAAATGATATGGGCCATGTAAAACATACTGATAGAAAATCAATAGAGCCTAACTTGAGATATTTCTTCATTTTATATTATTGGGGGTGGGATAAACACATTCCAGGGAAACAAGTTGAGAGGAGGACCGCAGATGATACAGTTGAGTCTTGATGGGAAAAGGCTATACGCGACTAACTCGTTGTACAGCACATGGGACAAGCAATTCTATCCAGAACTCGTGGAGAAAGGGTCCCACATTATACAGATTGATGTGGAGACCGAAAAAGGCGGACTTTCTGTCAACCCAAACTTCTTTGTTGACTTTGGAGCTGAACCTGATGGTCCAGCGTTGGCTCATGAAATGAGGTATCCTGGGGGTGACTGCACTTCTGATATCTGGATTTAAAAGCGTGTACTATAGTAAACTACGTATTTTATTATTTTATAGAGTTACAGCTTATTATGCCAATAAAAATGAAGGCTTGTTAGCCCACGAATGGAATATTTTCTGGCACTGCCTGCCCCATGTTGATCGAAATAAACCTTGTAATTTAATGAGTAATGGTTACAAAGATTCTTGTTTTCAAGTTTTCTGTGTATGTCTGTCTAGCTCCATTCTACAAGTCTGTTACCCAAACGAAGACATAAATGACATCAAACCAATTAAAGAGGATATATACGCCAAATAATGACATAAACGGGATATGAAAATTGATGGAAGATTTTGAAAATCTAATTCTGCATAATTAGTGAATGAGTGTCGTTAATAACTTTTTGATTATCCAAAAAGGAAAATGCAAAAAACAGAGCAGTTAGAGAAGAAAGATGATGCCGCAATTCCGCAATTGCCCCAATTGAACTTAAATATGGAGAACAAAAGAATATGAATACGCTTTAGTTATTAATTAACTTACAAAGTTATATTGCATTATTGTCTTCCTAGAGTTTGCCTTTATGACGAATTCCTGCAGAACCAAATGATGATGCAGTTGGATCTCAAACATCTAACCTTTTTTGGTGAGTGACTTTACCTCCCGTGTTTACATTTCCCTTCATATTCTTTGATCATGAAGTTGTGAACTTGTGATACACCCATAAAAACATTATATCTATGTTTGGTTGTATACAAAAGAACTCAACTGCAATTTGTCCAAATTCACAAAATTCAATGGTTTATAATAAGAATCGGCAAAAAACCACTTGACTCGATGAATCCTATTGAACACCGCCTTACTGATCTTTTAAAAATCAACACCTTGCATTTTATAAGAAACCAAAAATCAAGAGAAACCCTGCAAAGCACTTGTTTAGTTATTACATCAACTAGTATGCAAATGCAAAAAGTTTAGGGGAAGTCAAATGTATAGATTGTCTATTTGCTCTTTGTACAAGTCTGCTACTTTGTCTCTCTTAACTTTCATAGTGGGAGTCAACAAACCATTCTCAACCTGCACAGCCATAAATCAAAATGTCTGAGAAAAGGGAATTTCTTCAGGTTGGAAAATATATGTAGCTCAGAAGACGAAAAGATACCGTAAAAGGCTCATCAATGACAAGGAGAGGCCCAACTTGAAATGTACAACCCGTTGTCCTGCATTCCAATAAATGAAACACCAGATAACTTTGGTTAGCTGTGTTGAGCACTTTTTCTGCTAATAGATCGAAATACAAGACAGTTACCATTTTCTTAGTTCTTCATGTAATAGGCTAGCCATTTTCTCCTTGTTGACTTCTATGGCATCAGAACCAACAACTGACAGTTCTTTTGCTGCTGAAAGAACCTCCTCCTTATTTGGTACAACAATAGCACCAAGGCGCCGTTTATCCTACATTTTACATGTCAATGCGTTCACATGAGCAAGCTGAGTTTCAAATTTGGTATACATTAAATAAAAGATAAATAAGTATTGCATGCCTGCCCAATGACAACAATCTGCTCAATCATATTGCTACACATTGCAGCTTCTTCAACCTCAGACGGTTCAACATTTTCACCTAACGCATAAAGAGGTTTTTTCATAAAATTTATGGAACTAATTGGAAAAATTGACTTTAAATTCGATACTAATGCACAATTGTATTTCTACTACTAGATCATCATCATTACTCCAGTGCCTCAAAAGCTCCCACCTACGGTGGGGTTGAGGGATCGAATGTACGCAGTCTTACCCCTGTACTAAAGTACATGGAGACTGTTTTCGGATGACCCATAGTGAAAATCACGTCGAAAATTGCATGGACTGAAGACTGCTTCATAACAAAGAAGCACAGACAATTTAATGAACCATTTTGCACTAATGATGGAAAATAGCGAGTCTTTGGCTCCATTGCAAATGATAGAAAATGTATTTCTATCATTTTCCACAGGGAGACAGTAGGATGTATTTCTACAAATAGATGATATATCAAAATTGGTGGTTTTAGATTATGATAGCTTGTGCATGAGTAAGAAGAGTTTAACCATTACCTGATGAAAGGACTATAGTGTCCTTTGCACGACCTTCAAGAACAATAACACCTGAAGCACTCCGAGATCGCCCTGCAGAATGACGAGGAACTATCCAACCAAGATCACCAGTATTTAGCCATCCGTTCTCATCAATAGCTTGCCTTGTAGCCATTGGATTCTGAACAATGTAATGCTTACAATTAATATACAAGTTATGCAAAGAGATTAGTTTCAAATGTTGAAATAAATAATGTTCTATATCTACAACATTTTAGAAGGGCAAATAAATGACTGTTTTTCAATGCTGTTTTGGAAAACAAAAAATATACTCCATATAAGAAATTTACAAAGGAAACACGCATGACAGGACAATAAGAGGTGATGGGTAAGTCGAAGAAAACACTGCTCAAATGCACAATTCCACTAACCTTGTAGTAGCCCTTCATGACCTGTGGTCCCTTGACTTTGACAAGGCCTTTAGAACCATGAGGGAGGACCTCATCCGTTTCAACATCTACAACTTTTATTTCTGTGTACGCCAAGGGAAATCCGATTGATCCAATGACCTGCAAACATTATATTTGTAATTGTCATGATATTGACTTTGTTTAACCATGGCAAATATATGATTGCCCACCATTACTCACTCCTCATGCATGCAGAGAAAAAGATGAAAGAAATTGTACAACTTTTTGGATGGTTCATAATTATTTCTTACAAAATCATCTCTTTTGAAACGGTTCAAACATGAGAAAAATTGGCAATGATACTCGCATTGCTTATCAGAGAAGACAATTAGGTGAAAGGTTTCACAGTTCAGGAGACAACACTTACATTAGAATTTGGCCATCGGCAGGCAACAACAGGAGATGCCTCTGTTAAACCATATCCGTTTTGTACTGTAATGTCAATTGCCTAGATGATATCACATCTTGAATCAGAAGCTAGAAAGCAATCCAAATTTTGGCATAATCATAAAGATAAAGTATATAACCTCAAAAAACTTGTCAACATGTATAGGAAGACTACCACCTCCGCTTATTCCAGCCTGCAAAAAATAAAAACAAAACCAACACCGATTGCTAAACTTTTTAAAAGAAAAGAGGTCGAAGTATTGGAGGCATATCATGGCTTGATAAATATTTGCACTGTATACCATATACCTTGGATATACCAATATTTGAGCAAATTTTAGTGTAGAATAATTTCTTTGCAAAGATATGCAATGGATACAATAGAGCAGCAACGGATCTGGCCAATAACCAGTCTAAAGCTGACACAAGAAAAGAAGGCGGTTTCTGATCTCGTGTTAAGCATTTACCCTGAAACATAGAAGATAAAAAGTCAATCAAGAATATCCAACAATGTTAACTGTAGCTAAAAGATTGAGAAATTCTTAATGTTGCTGTCATACCTCATAAATATTTTTGAACTCTTTGTAGGCATAACTGATCTTCAGAAATATCAAGGCAATGAGCTTACGATACCTACTACTTGCATTAATCTGTTTCATAATCCCACTGCAAGGTGAACAAAATAAAATAAAGACAATGAAAGTAGAATTACTTGAAAACAAGGATAGCTGCACCAGATTTACCTGTATAATGTCTCATATATCAAAGGGACTGATATTAGATAATTTGGCTGATAACGTTTCAAATCTTCCTAAAATATATGTAAACCGAATCAGAACCACAAATAAATCTTCCATTTTTTGCAATTCTAGAACCAAGCATAATTTCTTAGAGTCATAGTAGGTCAATTTTAAAAAGGACAACTTTATAATGCATGAGAATATAGAAGTATAGCAGTACCACATACCTTCAAGTGTCTGACAGTAGTGTATACTTGCTCAGTTCCAGAAGCAAGAGCTGAATATTCACATGCACGTTCATATGCATGCCATGGAGGAAGCACGCTGAGGAATCTATCTCCAGGAACAACAGGTACAAAATCCCAGAAATTCAAAACCTACAAAGAGAACACAAAGTTTTGATTCATGCACGTGCACTGGGAAACACTTCCATATAAAAATGCAAAATTACAAGATCCAATAATGCTGAAGGAGGTAAGCATGTATTCTTATAATCATAATTATTATTTCTATTGAATAACTATTGTTATATGAAACTAATGTATAACAAAACATTTGTTATTTTCACACAAATGTACCACTAACTCTGATCCAGAGATTGCAACCTTAGCAGATTTTAATTACAATACAGCATCTATACGGATAAATATTAGTTATTATAAGACCAAACTTAAAGCATTACCCTTATGATTACTACAGTATTAAGTTTTAAATTTAAAAGATGGCAACCTGGTGAAGCAGATTATTATGTGTAAGCATAACTCCTTTTGGGTTGCCAGTAGTTCCACTAGTATAGACAAGTGTGGCAACATCATGAGAGTTGATTGGTTCATATATATACTGATTACCTGCAGTTGCAATAGCGATGAGTGATCTTTTCTCCGCATAACGGTCAAAAGACTACTACAGTTATCATGTATATGTAAACTTATAAAGGATCCTTAGAAGCATACTATTTCCAACAAACTAAATATGTAGTCTTTTCATATAGTATTGGAAATGAATCTATAAACAGTTTGTCTGAGAGAAAATTACTTACTGCCTTCTTCTGAACACATCAATGAAAGATGACTCTCATTTCCTAAATCTATGATCTCTGAATAGCTATATATGGGGAGTCCATCTATCCCTTCACCTGTTATACTCGACTTTTCCCCCCAAAGTAAGATGACAAATCTTGCTTTTGCTAATGAGTGGAAGCTTTTTGCAATTCGAGAGTATATTTCAGGATTATCAACAGCAAGTGCAACACTGAAATTATAGTAACAAGAAATCATTGCACTAAGTCCAAAGAATATATAGATTAAGAATGAAGAACGTGCAGGGGAAGACATCAGCATAGTACTATTCCTGGCGAGTTTAGAAACACAGTGAAATAGAGAAAATTGGTACATAGTACTATTTACTCATAAAATAAACAGATAAGTTTTAGCAAACAGAATTCTCCAAACAAATAATACAAGGTATTAAGAATCGTTAGCAATTCATTCTATACAACTCAATCCAAATCAGATCTGATTACTAGGCTTGCATTTTGATCATATATTCATATGTAAATGTAAAAAACAAATTACTAGATAATTAAATAAGTAAAAAAAATGAAAATCAAAGCACACTAACATTTTGAAAAAGAATCTCCATTCAATACATGAGGGCTAACCTCTCAGAGTGGTTGTATATTTGCAAAAGCTCTTCGGTGGATGACCTTGAACCACGCACCACATCAATTGCTCCAGTGGTCATTATACCTAAAGGATTCATTATGTCTCTGAATAAGAGAATTTTCATTTTGCACTGTTACATACTCCCTCCATATTTTAAAGCTTGCTACACTTCCTCTTTTGGTAAGTTCCCTTTAAAAATTCTCAATTACTCTTACTTTTTCAACTTTTTATCTTCTCCTTCATACTTTTACACCCTCTCCCCTACCTTTTCACACTATTCATTACCTCTGCCACTTTATTCCTTAAATAATGTGTCAAAGCCATATGTAACAATCTTTAAAATACGGAGAGGGTATGTGAAACGTACATCGGGTTTCTAAATCAATGCAAGCGATGTAATCATAAAGTCACGTAAGTAGCCTTAATTGGTTCATCCCTGTACTATGATGGTCTAAAAGCATGTAAAATTGAAAACATTGTAGTAGTGCACAGTTTTCAAACTCATAGTAATAGTTGAGAATAAAGACTGCACAAGCACAACATGTGTGGGGAAGGGATATATATATATAGAGAGAGAGAGTTCAAATAAAAAGAGGTGCTCCCGTACAAAGTGCAAATGATTGCACTTTTTCTTCACTGCGTTGCACTATTTCATGTTTCTGTTGCACTTTTTTGCAGTGGAAGAAAACTTCGATTTAATTACGAAATTGTCACCGCATTTTTGATCGAATTTAGTGCATTTTTGGCTCATTTTGAGCCATTAGATCTTAAAATGAATGCACAAGATTAATTCTCACTTTGCATGGGAAGACCTCTTCGTATTTGAACCCTCCCCTATATATATATAGGGGAAATTTGCAAAGTGCGAAGTGCGAAGTGAGACTTCAAATACAAAGTGGTCTTCCAGTGCAAAGTGCGAAATTTACACTTTTTCATGTTTTGCTTGCACTTTTTCGTGTTTCCGTTGCACTTTTTGGCCTTTGCGATTTTGGCCAAATTCGGCTAAAATGACGGTGGCAGTTTTGTAAATAAACTAATTTTTTGAGCTACCGCAAAAAAGTGCAACAAAAACATGAAAAAGTGCAAGCAAAACATGAAAAAGTGCAAGTTTTGCACTTTGCACGGGAAGACCACTTTTTATTTGAACCATCCCCTATATATATAAGTTTTGGGTCAAATAAGAACATGATCTTGGGAGAGAAATGAGAATGAATCTGGATCGTTATATTTGTTTTAAGTGAAATTCAATGTGCATCAGATGAAACTGTAATGTGCATTATGTAATATTGAAATGTGCAACACAAAAGGTACGATACAGTGACATTATGTGAAACTGAATTGTGCATCAGATGAAATTGAAATATGCACCAAGTGAAACTGAAATAAGCAGAATAAAAGGTACGATGTGATGTTATTTTTGTATATTTTATTCTGCACATTTCAGTTTCACGTAATGCATATTTGAGTTTAATTTTTATTATGCACATTTCAATATGATCTAATGCACATTTCAGTTTCACCAAATGCACAATTCAGTTCTACACAATACAATCCAACGGTCCAGATTCATTCTCATTTCTCTCCTAGGCATCCGTTCTTACCGGAGCCGCTCCCTATATATGTATATATATAGAGAGAGAGTTTACCTTGATCTGCAACAAACCAACGGCAGGAATTTTCAGCAAAGAGTGCAATCTTCTCATCAGGTTTTAAGCCAACAAGTCTTAGTCCTTCAGCAAATCTCAAAATTTCTTTCTCTAGCTAAAGTTAAAACAACAAAACCATGAACAAGGATAAAATCAAGATTGAGATAAAGTATTTTTAAAACCAGATACAGCGCTCGATTTGCTTTTACAATAAACTGATATACTAGAAGCAGTTAATACAAATTGAAGTCTCGACACCCATCATATCTAGAACATACAGCTGATATCTTCACAAAGAGACTGTTCAGACCATTGTTTGAACTACTTATAAGCAAGTTGGGGATGTATGATATATACTCACCAAGTTGAGGGATAGAAAATGTTACACTTATTATTTATTATTAGATGGTGTACGTGTGTAGCTGTGTAGATAAGATTTTAGAGTTGTTAGACTTCATTGGTTAGTAGATAAGTTTTGTAGTTAGATATATCCTACTAACTCCGTCCCAAAAAGGTTTGACATATTGACTTTTCTTGGTCAATAATGGCAAACTTTGGGCGATGATTTTAATTATTATACTTGTATATAATTTATAAATTTATACTTTTATGAAAATATTTTGAATGATGAACATTTTGATATAATTTTTATATTCTAAATAATTTCATATTAAGAAATATCATTAGTCAAAGTTGATTGTCATTGACCAAGAAAAGTCAACTTGACGAACCTTTTCGGGACGGAGGGAGTATTTTTTAGGATCTGCATAGGGAGTTTGTTCATTGTACTCTGGCACTCTGCATATATATTTTGGCCGTATGGCTCAGTATCATCAAGGAATATTAATTCCTATGACCTACACAATACTTTTATCTTAATTGTTTCAAGTTTCTTGAGCATGATGAATGTTTATCAGACAATCATATATAGTCAGCTTTTGACCTGCCTATAAGGAAAAGCTGTTGACCTGCCTATAAGTCAGCTTTGTTGGCGGATCATGGTAAGGGTCCACCAATGCTACACGATCACCAAACTTGTCTGCTGCTGTCTTCCAGATATCAGGAACTGTTATCAATTCCGAAGACTGCAGTAATTCATTCTTTGACAACAATGTGCTCTCCAAAACAGGAGAGCATTTCCTGACCTGCATTACCTTCATCTCAGTAAACCATTATACTTTCAAATGATACTACGTATAACATATCAATAAAACATTTGAACTCCAAAAGGACAACATTGTAATTTAGATGTGGAACTAAGGAAGAATGCAAAGCGGGGTATGCCTCAATTAAGGATTTGAGTTTGCTTGAGGTAGCGTAATATAAAAAAAAAAGTTTGATGTGAAGCAAATAACTGGTCCACAAAATAATGCTTAGTTAATTTGTAACTTGATATTAGAAGGAGGATTGCATGAGTTGTTTCGAAAAGTTCATTTTTACAGAGCATACTGATATGAACAATCCCTTGCTCATATCACATACTTGACATCGTTTTAAGGAAAGCAAGTGCATTCTCAACTCTCAAATATCATGACACAGGAACTTATGGATGAAAAATAACTTATACAAATACTGAAAAAATGGAATTATGTTATAGTACATATATCAATTTAATGATATCAATAAATGTTTTATTGATATGTTATACAGAGTACTCCGTATCTTTTAAAAATGTAATGGTTTAATGAGATAAGGTAATGCAGGTCAGGAAATGGACAGTTCCTATCGTAGGAGGTTTAAACAGTTATCGAAGTGCCAATGATATAGATTCAAGTACTGAAGCACTAAATGAAACTTAAGATGCTGTCATACTCAAATAATCAGTTACTAACAACCAACTAAGTCTTGCGTAATTCTTCCAAAACATATAGTATTGCTACGAAATTTCATAAAAAGTGTTTCGAGTAAAATCCAGATACTAAAATTGGCACCAGGAGATGAAAAAAGAAGGTACAGAATACAGAGTAAAATTACAGTTAACTCGCAGAACACTCTGAATTTCAGACTTCTCGAGCCAGGAGGAGTTCGCTGATGCAAGTTTATTTTGATGAATCCTGGACGAGAAATGATATCCTGAAATGGACGGTTCCTGTCGTAGGAGGTTGAAACATGATACGGTAACGCCTTAATGTTCATCGTGGCCATGTTTGAATCTATCTAAGCGCATGAACGTGTTAGAAAGAAGGAGAAGAAGACGAAGATGAAAGGACAAAAGAAGAGGAAGAAAGGAGCATCGTTTGATGCCGGAGATGGCGATTGGAGAAGACGAAGAGTGTCAGACTAGGGAGGGAATACAGCTGATAAAACAGACGATAATAAAGGGAGGGAATACAATCCGTACCGGTATTTGAATGAATGAATCCGGGTCTGGATTTTTGGTAATATATGGCCCACCATTGTTTGTTACATCGAATCAATGAAATCTGACATACCGTTACTATAAAAATTAGGCGAGTCACCGAATTGAAAAGACAGTCTACCAGAACGTAAACGCCGAATTCTTATTCTTTTTCCTATTAAAAATATCACAAATATGGGTACATTTTTTTTAATTCCTAGCAAAGGGGCCTGGAGCCCTAGAGTAATCAGGGTCGAAACTCACTCCATTAAATTTTAATACCTTATATGCCTAGCGTGTTTCAAACTTGAGACCTCCCACTAGGCACCGAGGTACATGAGTTGTACACAACTTGTACATAAAATATCGGTCCACAAATATTAATTTTCATGTAAAAAGTACACTAACAGTCGCCTGACATTGACACTAACTTGCAAATCAATCTATATATATGCAGTGCATGTGTGCACACACAATATTTTCCAGTTGCACCAATAATTATTTGTCTGTGTGCACAGACAATATTTACCACATAGACAATAATCTTGCAGCTCACAGACAATAGTTGTCTGTGTGATCAACTTTAATTGTCGATGTGATCAATTTTAATTGTCTGAGTGAACAAAAAATGTAATTGTCTATATACATCTAAATGAATGATGTAGTTGTATGTGTGATCTATTTACATGTAATTTGAAAAAAAATAAAAAAATTAATAAAAATAGAAGAAATAAGATGAAGAGACTTATTTTGTGCAAATATTAAAAAAAATGATTTAAAAAGGTAGAGAACAAGAGGATAAAGAAAGGAAGAGAGGATGAAGAAGAGAAGATGATTATCTCATATATTTTTTTGAGAATTTTCGAAGGGATTAAGTAAAGAGGAAAGAGAGAAGAGAGAGGGGGAATAGAGAAAGGAGTGAGAAGGGAGAGAGAAGGGGAGAGGGGGGAATGGAGAGCTTTTTGGGGGGCTTTTATACGATGTACACTTTATGCACAAGTCAATACACAAAGCATTTTTGTTAAAATTAAAATATTACCTCTCCATTTTTTGAAAAATAAATACTATGTATATAATTAATTTTTATTTTACAAAATTGTGACTAACATTTACAAAACTAGTATATATTTATCATACTTGTAATTCTTACCTAATTACCTACACTTGCCCTACTCAATCCTGCCTCACTGATGAAGGTTTGTAAGAATGCATCTGTAACTTATAATGAATCTATGTAATATCACTACAAGAAAATTGACTTTTTGCGACAAACAATTTGCGACCGGTGTCTGATTTGGTCGCAACATGTATACCAATAGCGACCATATTTTATATGGTCACGAAAGTATTAAAAAGGCTCAATTTTTCCGCGACCATTTAAATATCCTTTCGCTATTAGAGAGACATCCGGTCCCTAAAGGTTTTAGTTCTGGCGGTCACCGAAAAAAGAAGCCCGCCCACATCCCTCCTTTTCTAAAAAGTTGGCGGTTCCTAAAGTCCACCTTTTTTCCTTAACCTAAAAAATTGGATCGAACACTTCTTTTGCTCTGGACAAAAAAATAACCTTTAACCTTGCCTTCCTTTTGCTCCGGACAAAACCCTTCGTTCTCAGACCTCTCATTCCTACTGTACGGACGAAGAATAGCGCTCAAACGGAAGAAGCTGCTCGCTGGTTAAGCTATCACTCGGCCGCGCCGCTACTCATCACTCGTCTGCGCCACTACTCGTCACTCGTCCGCGCCGCTACTCGTCACTCGGCCGCGCCGCTACTCGTCACTCAGCTTTTCGAACGGAATGCTTTACTGCTCGCTGGACGAAGAATAGCGCTCTGACGGAATTGGCCTGTCACTCGGTCACTTCTTTAAGTCGTCACCATCGATTTTTGAGGTATATCACTTCGGCTCCGCAAAATAGCTTCAAGTTGTTGAGGTAAACACTTTTCTCCACCATTATTTAGTGATAATATGATTAAAGCTGCTGCAAAATGTTCTTATTTTTGTACTTTTGGAAGCTACTTTGTTAAAATTTCAACCCATTTTGTTCTTCATCATGTTTTTATTTTTCTTTTCTGAATTTGTTGGGTTATGCAATATTTTTGGTTGTGATGTTGTTATTTGGGGTATTGCTCCCTTGAATAAGAGTGAGATTTGATATATGTCATTTGTGGTTTAATAGTTGGTAGTTAGTGTCCCAATGTTTGAACTTTGATGTATGAGGTTATCTAATGTAACAGTGTGTTTAAGCTTGTTGTTGTCTGTATATATTACTTCCATCATTTAGGAAGACTAGGGCTGGACCTAGGGTGGACAAGGTTTCAGTTTGGAATCGGGAAACAGAAAAGGGGCACCGGGAACCGAACAGAATGAAAACTTGCCCGAGTCCCATTATGTATTTTAGGTAGCAAAACTGGTTATTCAAGTTCTGGTTGCATTGTATGGATTTCTAGTGTCATGGAAAAGGTAAATAATCCCATTGAGGGCAGGAACTAGAACTGCTAGTGAATGGGTTCCACTTAGTAGCAGTCTGTCTATCAGATGAATATTTTATACTCGGTTTGAAACAATATCCATCAAGAGTGTTGGTCCCGTTTATAATGGGAACAGTCTAGGGGGGGATGAATAGACTGTTCAGGATTTTTCAATCTTTTCTCTAAGTCACTACTCACTTATCAGAGATGGTCAAATTCTGGTGACAGAGAAGGTCAAGTTCTGATGGCAGAACTGGATCTGGCAGCGGATTGGTTTCTGTCCGGGTAGCCTCAGAAAACACTAAGGCAAATGCCTTTCTGATAACTCTTAAGGGAGATCTGCTAAACACATAGTCCAGCCTTTTGAGTTAAACAATCAAGATCTTAAGTGCAGAATTAAATGTGTAAAGTAAATGACACCGGGGATTTTTATAGTGGTTCAAGGAACAACGTGTTCCTCTAGTCCACTGTTCCACTAAGCTTGCAAAAACAACAGTTTACAACGTCTTAGTCCCTAGAACTTAAGAAGCACTCCACGTCTTCTTCAAGCCTAGTTGCCACCCGGGATGCAGTCCTGCTTCCTGATGGCTGGTCTCGTTTCACTGAGTCTCTTGGAAGTATCCCCACTTCACTTACTCCAGTTAGTTTGAGACGCCCCTTCTTTTTCAAGAAGTGTTTGATTCAAGATCAGTTTTCTCCAACGTTGCTTCTTCACAAAGGATGTGTAGATGATGCTTTCGAAGTGTTGAAGAACTGAGGAACTTTGCTACTTTTTAGTTGGATGAAGGATATGAAAATATATCTTCCAACTTAAGCTTTTCTTGTTGAGGTAAGTGAGTTTTTGATCTCAAGAAAGCTTGAAGATTTTTGGTTCAGAGCAAATAGGTTGAGCAAAGTTATAGAGCAAAAGTTGTCCTGGTAGTTCTTCAAAGTGTATCTTATATACTGGGAGCAGTCTTCCCGTTGGAGTGTAGAAGACAGCTTCATTAAATGCTTGTACTGTTGATTTGACCGGTTGGACCTTCAACTTGCTATTTTGGGGGCGTGAAGATACCCGCATGGTCAATCATCAGCTTTAAATATATCTTCGTACGTACAACATTAATTGAGCATTTAATGCGTGTACAGTACCATGTTCCCGTCGAATGGCTCCTAGCCGTTAGAGGATTTCCCGTTAGTTTCACGGCCGTTGATAAGTGCCTTCGAATTGTGCTAAGTAAGAGCAAGTCTGATAAGGCTTTCTGATCCGATCTCTGATGACTGCCTCTGATGCCAACTCTGGTACCCAACTCTGGTAGCTTCTCTGGAGAGCAACTCTGGGAGCAACTCCGGTAGATGTTCTGATCAAGAAGACCAAGAGGGTTTCTGGCATGTCGACTATGCTAATACTTACAAAGAAATTTTCTAATACAAAAAATTCTATAGGGGTACTTTCAAATTCTAATAAACCTAGCATCATCGAAATCTAATTACATTTATTCCTTACAATTTCCCCCTTTTTGATTATGCCAAAACCCTTTAACTATTTCCAGAGAAGTGCCTTTCACCATAAAAGAATAAAGTTAAAAACTTTCATTAAAATCTTGGTGGGCAACTTGGCATAGGAAAATAGTGAGAGTACAGTACAATCAGATAGCAATAAGAGGAATTAAGGTATCAGAGCAAACGAAAGGAAATCACAGAAGAAAAAATAGATAATTGAAGATGTCATGCAAATTAGAGACAGAGATGGTATCTTATATATCAGAGAGTTAAAATACAGAAACAGAGATGGAAGATTAAGTTTCTTCTTCATCTACCTGGGGTCCTGCTTTATCAATCCTCTCAAGTTCTGCATTGACCTTAGCTCTGATTGAGGCTAAGTCCCTTGGATTCTGATAGTCTGCCCAGTGAGGCGCAAGCTTGCAATCCAAGTAGTTTCCGATTGCTTCTGATATGTTTTTACCAGTTAGAACTCTCATATGCCACCAGATTTCAGCTTCTTGTATCGATCCACCATGGTTGATCTGGACAAGTCCATCACTATCAATGAACAGATTCTCTTGTTGTAGTGGAGTCATGAGCTTCTTCATCTGAGTGAATTGAGCTTTGTCAGGCCTAGACATCCCACTCTTCATCCACTCATTGAATGTAAAGTTTGAGGACTTCTTCTTTGAGCTTCTGGGAGGTGGAGGAGGAGATCTGGTGCCTGCAGCAGCTAACTTTTTCTTCTTTGCGGCTTTGAAGTAAGGAGCAGGATCAACAGTAGATGAGGGTCCTCAGATAGATAGGGCTCTGGTGCTTGGACCTTCCTCTTCTCTGGTCTCTTCCCCCCTTTTGACATCAACAAGATCGCCAAGGAGGAGCTCAATCTTAGAGAACTCTGAAGCCTGAGCATCTCTGATCTCATCTAGGGCTTCTGGCAGAGTCTGGGTAACAGAGGCCAGTCCTTCAATCAGGCTCTGTTGTCTCTCCATGGTTGATTGGATGCTCTGAGTACTGGCTTCAAGGAGTACCAACTTCTGGTATCGCTCCTAGTCCTTTTGAAGAA